TAACAAAACCTGTGATTTTCCGGAACTAAAAAACTGGATTTTTTCCTGATTTTAGTTTTTTATTTTTTTTTACAGGGAGATAATACAAGTAAGTTTATGCCATCAGGTATTGTAAGATGCTCTAAAGTATAAGTTTTTCCTGTCTTCCAAGATGAGCCTACATATACATCACCTTCATTAGATAAAGGTTCTACATATTGCTTCTCATACACTTCTGTCGCGGTAAGAGAAGATTCACATTTAACCCAACTTGGCATTTCTAAAAAGAGTTTCGGAAACTTTGGACCTTTTATTTTGGGATGGCTGGGGGTGTTATTATTTTTTTGTTGGATTTTTCCCGCAATAAATGGGTCATTAAAAATTTCTTCTCTTTCATTTCTATTTTGCTGGAAGCATTTCACAATGAACGAACCATTATAACACGCGTGTCCAAACCATCGCTGATCCTTGTCATGTGTGCGTTTACAAATTGAACATTCTAGATATGCTTTCCAATTAAAGTATACGAAATACTGAGAATCTTTTTCTTTGATATCCCACCCTCCAAGATAATCAGAATATTTTTGCAGAACTAGATTAGCATATTTTTTTAGTAAATCTTGATCAACGATTATTTTTTTCTGATTTATTTTCTCTACACTAAGTATGCGAGGACGTACTTCTAAATTCATATTAATTGGTAGTTGAACTCGGCTGTCATTGAGATTGCACCACCCATTATCTAGTGAGTATTGGAGAATGCGCTTCATGCAATCTTTTTTGGCTGAACCTATTAAGCAGAGACAGAAATTTCGACCAGGTAACCTCTATCAATAAACTTATCATATTTTTCTCCTGTTAATTTGTATACTAATTCTGTAAATTCTTTGAGCTCCTGATAATCAACAAGAAGAGTTGGAGTGTATAGAAGGTGATAACTGCATTTACTATCATCAGATGATGTCATAATTACCAATCCTTTAATAATTTCTTCCCAACTACAATCAAGAATTCGATACAATGCTCTTACAAATGAACAACAAATGTTGAAAAACAAATTTTTTGTATTAATGTTTTCAGCTTCCATTTTTTCTTTAGATACATCAATATCAATCACAGCTCTTAAAGGCCGTTGCCCATTAATACATTCATGAATTCCAGGTAACCCATATATTTCAGATATATTATCTATGACGGAGAACTTTGGTGCTTGTTTATCTTTTTGGTCAATTTGGATAATTAATCTATTGGTTAACTTCTCCCATGTATATGCATCGAGCAGACTAATTCCTTCTTTTGCTCCATAATTAGGTAAGAGATAATCCCATAAATATATATCTTCCAATAATCCTTTATTATTCGACATATCTCTGGCAGGTGAAGAAACGATTTTATGAATTTTATTTATTACATTTTTTTTGGTAAATTTATCATCGAATCTTTTTTGCTGTTTAGGATATGTGAGACTCGCTTGTTCTGTGGATGATGTCGTATTAGACACTTGTTCTTCTACTTTAAGAGGTTGGGGTATTGGAGACTTAATAGTAGTCTCAGTATCTGACTCATAGTCACTGCAATTTTCTGATCCACTTTTGGATATATTATCACTATAGACATCTGAGTCACTTGAATAGTCATCAGTTTTCCTGTCCCCGTACTGGATCACTTGTGCATTTTGTTTACTCATTTTTGGTATTTGGTTTTTTTTATGCTATGAATCTATCAGTTAACAAAGTTATATTATCCCAATAGATTTTCGAAAGTTTAAATTATTTTTTTTTCAGTTGGTGGTAAGTGATAGTAAAAAATATATATCGAATATTCTTAGCGAGAATATAAATGAATGTGATAGAGATAAAGAATACTTTATGATGTAATTTCAGAAACTCTACTATGTAGAGAAATGGAAGAACACATCACCTTAGCATATGTATTTCAGGTATGTCTTTGATATGTGTTCGAGTGGTGTAATCTTCAGTAATATTATATATAAAATATGGAAGAACATCTCATCTCGATTGGTATGATTGGATATGCTTTCAGGGTAGGTAAAATGAAGTAATCTTCGGAAATATATTATATATAAAATGGAAGAACACTTCATCTGATATGGTATGTGCTTAATAATATATTTTCAGGTATATGATCAATAATGTGTTTTTAGGTAGGTCAAGGTGAAATAATCTTCAGTAATATTATATAATAAATATGGAAGAACACTTCACTTTTTGATAATATGTTTCGGGTATGTGTCAGGATAGGTAACTTCTGTAATATATTATAATAAATACGGGAGAAACTTACCTATTTAACGGTACATTTTTGGATATATTTCCAGGATGTATAACTTCGATAACTCTACATAGTAGAGATTATGGGAGTTATATACCTGCCTTCTTATATATATACTCGAAGTTGACTTGCTTTTTTCGTCACTTGTTTCATATCGGGTTTTGAATATATATCTAACTGATAGCATATTCTGATAGCATATACATGATAGCATTATCGATAGTGTTTGCGTGATATGTTTCATATACATATTTGATAACATATACCTGATAACGTGGCTCGACAGCATAACCAGATAGCATGTATATAACATACCCGACACCATATACTCTGGCTATATACCTCTACAAATGATGACATAATTAATAGGGATCATCAAACTCATAAAACATGACCTGATAACATGTATATAGCATAACCAGATATAGTAATTGCGTGATTAATTTTTTCATTAAATAATCTGTACAATATATAAAATAACAATAATGCAAGATCGCAAGAGCATGCTAACTCAAACTGTTGATAAAATTATAATGCAAAAGATTGAGGAAGCAGACTGCAATATTAAGCTTATCAATAAACTCTTAATACAGGAGATTGGAAAGATTTTCAAAACTTATATAGAAAAGCTAGATCAAGATTACGATTCTGGATCTGAAGATGACTTAAAAGATATTATATCTATTCGTGAACCTGCAATCAAGAATCTTGTTACTATTAATAATATGTAAATCACAAGATGTAATCTTATTTTTTGATCCACCCGTCAAACTCGCAATATATAACGAACTTAATAGTACTAGAAATGTGACGACGTGAACATAAAATTGTCATCATAATTTTTTATAGGTCGTGGATACCCAAATATGACGACGAACTCGTGAACCAATCATTACTAGCATATTTTTTATAGATTGTGAGGTATCTAAGTGTGACGATGTGAACACAAATTCGTCGTCATATTTTTTACAGATCATGAGTACCTAAGTGTGACGATGAACTCATGAACCAATCATCACTCGAATGATGACACACACGTGATCCAATCGTCAATGGGGATGGTTATAGTCTGAATTAAGTGGTATAGTTGTAATCTGTATAGATTACAACTATACCACTCTTGTTGGATAGTGTTGTCGCTTATATTATCATTATCTTCATCATCTTCGAGTTCTAATCTATTTCTTTTTTCATTAAGTCTCTCGTCTTCAATGATGCTCATCGAGTCTTCACGCATTAGATTTGCATTTTTTTAATATATTTCCTAAAAGATTATATATAATATAGAGCAAAAGCTTACTTTGTATTTCTCCATGCGACATTGTAATGAAGTTTTGCTTATCTCAATTGATAGATGATTTGGATTTAGAACTATATCGCATACACTCGTAATATATGCACATAAATTGATAGATAATGATTTTTCACGAAGTATTGGAAAGATGATACGAGCGATATGGTTAATATTGCTGGTGCCATCATTTCCAAGTTGAAATAACTTATTATAACATTCAGTCACTTCTAACAATGTTTTTCATTCAGAAATTTCCTTGGAATTTATTTGGTTGTTAATGGGAGGTAAGATTTTATTCCAAAAACACGAAAAATTGCTTTCTTAATTGCTGTCACATTGAAATCACATATGTCTTTTATCCTTCTCATAATCTAATTGAAATATAAAAACTATCAATAAAATTCAATAAAACTATAATTATTGATAATTACTGCTGAGTGGTGTTGTCCAGAAAAAGCATTGATCCATTCGTATTTTTTGATTTCTTGCAAATAGTCGGGATGGTTGCGGTTGAGCCAGGATTCAAGTTCCTTCTTATAATCGTTGAATCGTGGTCACAGTTTAGATGGAAAAAACTCGAATAGACATTGCTATAACCATTCTATAATTATTCAAATTATGAATTCAATGATATATATAAAAGAATTAAAAGAATATATACTTACAGCCCACACTTTTTCACTTAAATCTATTTTTTTGTCTTGTTTCTTTCCAATTTGTCAAACATTACCTTCTGGAGCTCATAAATTACTTTGAGTTGTCGATCTTGTTTCAATATAACTTCATTGCGACATTTTTCACATTGAGTACGCTCATCGGCATCGTATAGTTTAAATAATGTTCTTAGTGAACCAGTGAGAGTGGGTGATTTTGATGAACTAAAAGCAGTGGCAGTCTGTGTGCGACTTATAAAGTTAAAAATTAATATTAACAATATCTATTAAACAATATTTAACAATATTAATCGAAGATTACCAGAAATTGGTTTTGGTGTAGTTAACATTAGATTGAATATATCTTCAAATTGAAAATATGCTATTTTAGTGAAAGAACTATTATCTGGAGAATTAGTTTGTTGTTGTGTTTGTTTTTTAGACATTATTTTAATAAGATTTGAATAAAAAGTTTAAATAAGAAAGACAGATTTCATGACAAGTCATTTAAATAAGAATTCTTACCCGTTGATTAATGATAGCCTCTCTCTTGAAAAATGTGTAATACATCAATAACATGTCAATAATTAGAAAAACATGTCACATAGAAATAAATGATCTTACCTATTGATTAATAATAGTCTTAAAAAATACGTAACACATCAATAATTAGAAAAACAATAGTTAAAAAGCAAGTCACATAAAAGCAAGTAATTTTAACTGCTTAGAGTATATATATATTAAAGAGTAAAAAGGCTATCTTATTATATCAATATGTAAATCAAGATAAGTTTTAAATCAAGCTAAATTTTTACATAAAAAGTTAAAAAGTTAAAAAGTAATATTAAAAAAAAATGATAATTGAAAATGTCTTTTCAGTATATTCATTGTCCTCGCAATTTTTTGATCCCTTATATACTCTTAAATATCATATTTCTAGTAAATATCCTATTTCAACTCAATTTGAAGAATCTGCTTTTATTTTCCCTATTGCTTCACCACCTATTTATAAGGAACCCGGATTATGGAAAGATCTTGAAATTGCTTTTAATTATTCATTAGATTCCTCAAATGTATTAGAGAGTGAAGAAGAAAATCAGAGTATAAAGAAATGGTAAACTAAAATAATGCAATACATCGTTATTTAACGTTTTTACATGATATACTAATTATTCAATCTATAGAATTCAAATTACTCAGATGATTTGGAATTGAAAACGCCATTTATAAATATAGAAGAAACATCTAACCTTACAATTCCATTCTCAATTTTCGTGAAAGACTCTAAAGGAACATCACTAGATAATGCTATTAATGATTGTATATATTCACAAGAAGTTGAGTGACCAAACAAAGTTTATCACAGCTTTATGGAACTTATAATAGAGTATCAATTATCAAACGCCTATGGTGATAAAATAATTAAATGGTTTAATACAAGTACTAATATAGAAGAAAGTTCTTTATCTAAAAGTACCAAAGAGGGTCGTGAGTTTCTTAATAATATTGAATTTTCATATCTTAATTTTAAAGAAGTACCTATAACCAATTTTCAAGAAACAGAATATATTTTTTATTACCGACTAATAATTCAAAGTATTAAAGCTCTTTTACTTCAACCTGGAGCTAGCGATGAATTCGCTTTATTATATCAAAAAAAAACTGAGATTAAAAATGGTCAGAAATTACAGGTTTATGGTGAACAATTCGAAAGCAAGTGGTGGAAAGAAACAGAATTGACCATACTTCTTGATAACTGATTACTATCGATTATTCTTTACTTTGATGCAACAACTTGTGATCAATTAGGAAAAACAACAGAACATCCTATATATCTTTTGCTTGGTAATATTCCTAATTGGCAGCGAGATAAGCCTTACGCGAAGGTACTCATTGGATATTTACCAAAACTAAAGGCTAAAGATATATATACACGAAATA